AAGCGGAGTTTACAGTAAGCCAAGATCAGGCCACTGCACTCCAGCCTGGATGACAGAATGAGATTCTTCTTAAAAAAAAAAAAAAAAGCAGGACCCCACACCCTTGCTGAGGGGCCACAGGCTACTCCTTTCTGCTCGCTCTTCTGTAACCTGGGGACATTAATGCCTGCACAGAGGCATAGGACTATGGGGCTCTGGCAGAAGGGGAGGACTGGTGAGCTTTCTGGGGTCCCAGACGCAAGAGAGGAAGGCACCCTTGAGCACCAGGCACTCTCCCAGGCACGGTTCTGCCCCGGCTGAGGATGGACACTGCTGCCCAGGGCACTCAGCTCAGGGGCAGCAGAAGGAACACCAGCACCAGGGGCTCAAAGAAGGCTGAGCGCCTCTGAGAAGCCAGAATGAGGGAGTGGGAATTTCTGAAAGACAGGGTCGTCATGATTGGGTGGAGGGTGGAGCAGAGCCACATGCTCTGCTTCTTTGTCCCTACCTATGTCCTGTGTCTGCCTCTCCTCTCCACCCCAGCTGGGCTACCGTCTCCTCCAACTAGACTCCACAGTGACCACCAGTGGGGCCCCCACGTCTCCCCCTACCCTCATCCTACCCCCAGCAGCCCAAGTGGTGCATCCCACAATGTGCAGGAGATTGAGCACCCTGCCTCTGAGCCCATGTGTGGCTCTCTTCTGCTCCTCTCATCAAGTTTAGCTCCTGCCAGGCACGGTGGCTCATGCCTGTAATCCTAGCACTTTGAGAGTCCAAGGCGGGTGAATTGCCTGTGCCCAGGAGTTCGAGACCTGCCTGGGCAACAAAGCAAGACCTCATCGCTATAGGAAAAAAAAAAAAAAAAAGTTTAACAATTAGCTGGGTATGGTCACTCCCACCTATATAGTCCCAGCAACTCAGAAGGCTGAGGCAGAAAAATTGCTTGTGCCCGAGATGTCAAGGAGGCAGTGAGCTGTGATCACACCACTGCATTCTAGCCTGGGTGACAGAGCAAGACCCTGTCTCAAAAAAAAAATAAAAGAAAAAAGAAAAGAAAAAAAGAAAACAAACAAAAACAGTTTGGCTCCATAGTGGGGCTTACAGGGGCCCCTGAAATCCTGAACTACCTTCTTCCCACCCCAGTTCAAATATTCACTTCAGCTCCATTCAGTGGCTGGTAGCCCTAAAGGCACCTCACCTCACACAGCTCAGCGCCTTTGCCCACCAAGCCCCCTCTGTGTGGACATCCTGCTCCAGCCAAATCCACCTGCTCACCAGCTTCTCCTCACCCTTTTTTAAGATTCTGCTCATCCGGACGTGGTGGCTCATGCCTGTAATCCCAACACTTTGGGAAGCCGAGGTGGGTAGATTACCTGAGGTCAGGAGTTCGAGACCAGCCTGGCCAACATGGCGAAACCCTGTCTCTATTAAAAATACAAAAATTGCTGGGCGCGGTGGCTCAAGCCTGTAATCCCAGCACTTTGGGAGGCCGAGACGGGCGGATCACGAGGTCAGGAGATCGAGACCATCCTGGCTAACACGGTGAAACCCCGTCTCTACTAAAAAATACAAAAAACTAGCCGGGCGAGGTGGCGGGCGCCTGTAGTCCCAGCTACTCGGGAGGCTGAGGCAGGAGAATGGCGTGAGCCCGGGAGGCGGAGCTTGCAGTGAGCTGAGATCCGGCCACTGTACTCCAGCCTGGGCAGCAGAGCGAGACTCCGTCTCAAAAAAAAAAAAAAAAATACAAAAATTATCCGAGTGTGGTGGCTTGTGCCTGTAGTCCCACCTACTTGGGAGACTGAGGCAGGAGAATCGCTTGAACCCAGGAGGTGGAGGTTGCAGTGAGCCGAGAGCATGCCACTGCACTCCAGCCTGGGTGACAGAGTGAGACTCCATCTCAAAAAAAAAAAGATTCTGCTCAAGTGCAGCCCTAGGTCCCCCACCTACGGCCTCTGTCCCATCATAGGACCTGCCACCTTGGCTGGGCTGTCCACACAGGTGGTCCTTGTTGCTGGGCGCGGTGGCTCAAGCCTGTAATCCCAGCACTTTGGGAGGCCGAGACGGGCGGATCACGAGGTCAGGAGATCGAGACCATCCTGGCTAACACGGTGAAACCCTGTCTCTACTAAAAAATACAAAAAACTAGCCGGGCGAGGTGGCGGGCGCCTGTAGTCCCAGCTACTCGGGAGGCTGAGGCAGGAGAATGGCGTGAGCCCGGGAGGCGGAGCTTGCAGTGAGCTGAGATCCGGCCACTGTACTCCAGCCTGGGCGGCAGAGCGAGACTCCGTCTCAAAAAAAAAAAAAAAATACAAAAATTATCCGAGTGTGGTGGCTTGTGCCTGTAGTCCCACCTACTTGGGAGACTGAGGCAGGAGAATCGCTTGAACCCAGGAGGTGGAGGTTGCAGTGAGCCGAGAGCATGCCACTGCACTCCAGCCTGGGTGACAGAGTGAGACTCCATCTCAAAAAAAAAAAGATTCTGCTCAAGTGCAGCCCTAGGTCCCCCACCTACGGCCTCTGTCCCATCATAGGACCTGCCACCTTGGCTGGGCTGTCCACACAGGTGGTCCTTGAGGTATGGGAGATGGAGTTTTGTGAATTCAGCATAGCTAGCCCCCTGGCCCAGTGGGGAGGCTCAGTGGTGTCTGCTGAGGTAGGTGACACTAAAGGAGCACGGTGCAGGTACAGGAGGGATCAGGTGCGAGGATCCCGAGAGGAGCTGGCAGAACTCTGGTCTTCTGGGAGAGCCAGGTTGTCAGATCTGATAATTACGACCCAGCCCTGACGTTTCATGGGAAGAGCCAGAAGTGTGCTTGCAGACAAAGAGGAATTGCACAGATTCTGAAAAACACAGACCCACGGATCCAGCCAAATTTCAGAACAGTCTACAAACTGAATATTAAATAGACACCTGAGCATTAAGAAAGGGAAGGACATTGTGTGGGTTCACTAAGAGTAAGCACATCCTGCCGGGCGCAGTGGCTCATGTTGGGAATAGGCCCCCAAAATCTGGTCATAAAGCGGCCCAAAACTGGCCATAAACAAAATCTCTGCAGCACTGTGACATGTTCATGATGGCCATGACGCCCTCGCTGGAAGGTTGTGGGTTTACCAGAATGAGGGCAAGGAACACCTGGTCCACCCAGGGTAGAAAACCGCGTAAAGGCTTCTTAAACCACAAAGAATAGCATCAACGATCTGTGCCTTAAGGACATGCTCCTGCTGCAGATAACTCGCCAGAGCTCATCCCTTTATTTTGGTCCATCCTTTTGTTTCCCATTAGGAATACTTTCAGTTAATCTATAATCTACAGAAACAATGCTTATCACTGGCTTGCTGTCATAAATATGTAGGTAAATCTGTTTAAGGCTCTCAGCTCTGAAGGCTGTGATACCCCTGATTTCCCACTCCACACCTCTGTATTTCTGTATGTGTGTCTAATTTCTCTAGCGCTGCTGGGTTAGGGTCTCCCCGACCAAGCTGGTCTCGGCAGGCTCACGCCTGTAATCCCAGCATTTTGGGAGGCCAAGGCGGGCAGATCACTTGAGGCCAGGAGTTCAAGACCAGCCTGGCCAACAAGGTGAAACCCTGTCTGTACTTAAAATACATAAATTAGCTGGGCGTGGTAGTGGGCGCCTGTAATCCCAGCTGCTCAGGAGGCTGAGCGGGAGAATCAGTATTTCTGGATCAGAAATGAAGAAGAACAAGGTGGGGGACTCTGGCTTGACCATGGTTGATGTAAAAACTATCCAGAAATCAGGGCTCATGCCTGTAATCCCAGCACTTTGGGAGGCCGAGGCAGGCGGATCACGGGGTCAGGAGATCGAGACCATCCTGGCTAACACGGTGAAACCCCGTTTCCACTAAAAATACAAAAAAAAATTATCTGGGCATGGTGGCAGGCGCCTGTAGTACCAGCTACTTGGGAGGCTGAGGCAGGAAAATGGTGTGAACCTGGGAGGCGGAGCTTGCAGTGAGCCAAGATCGCGTCACTGCACTCCAGCCTGGGTGACAAAGCAAGACTCCATCTCAAAAACAAAACAAAAATATCCAGAAATCATAAGCAACTCTGAATTCACCATGAGCAAGAGTGTGCTGTGTTGACTCACAAAGATGAAAGCTGCTTCAGGATACATTAATAGAGGCTGGGCACAGAGAAGGGGAGGTGATATTCCAGCTTGGCTCTTGCTATTAGAACCTCCCTGAGCATGTGCCCAGCTCTGGGTGTCACACTAACAACCTGGAGAGTACCCAGAGGCAGGACCAGGATGGGGAGGGTCTGGGCACCTCACGGGAACTGCTGCTGCCCAGAGCTCGGGGTACTGTCACCCACAGGCTGGGAGGCCTTAAGGAAGTGACTCAACCTCACTGAGCCTCAGTCTTCTCCTCTGAAATGCGGATCACAGGACTTCCTACCAGGCAGGGGATATATGAAGACTAAAAGAAATGACTCACACAAAGATGTAGCCCAGGACCTGGGGGACACTAAGCACATGCTGAGCCTTCAACCACCTGGGAAGGGGAAAGGGAAACACGGGTGGCCACCTGGGGCTGGTGGAGGAATGAGGGGCCTACTGGGAGGATCCTGGGCAAACTCACCTCTGGGCATCTGCCCTGAACTTGGGCTGGCGTCACAAGGAAGTTGGTCACCAAGAAGAACACGTTTTCTCCCTAGGAGGCAAATCTCAAGGTTGGCCTGGATGGGCTTGCATTGACCAGAAAGGCCGGAAGCCGGCAGCCTGGTTTATAAGGGAAGGGATGTTGGCCCCGTCCAGTCATTAACCCTGTCCCCCCATAAGGCAGATTGAAGCAGAGATGGGAGGCCGGCAGGGGTTCTGGCCATTTTTGAGACCGGGAAGCCTCGTGCCCATGTCCATCTCTTGAGACAAGTTTCTTTCTCATTTGCTCAACCAAAATTTATTTGTGTGTGTGCGTGTGTCTGTGTGCATTTAGAGACAGGGTTGCACTTAGTCACCCAGGCTGGAGTACAGTGTTATCATCAGTGCACACTGCAAACTCTAACTCCTGGGCTCAGGAGATCCTCCTGCCTCAGCCTCCCAAGTAGCTGGGACTACAGGCTCCAGCTACCATGCCTGGCTTCAACCAGAATATTCCAACAGCCTGCTGCTTCTAGTACTGAAGATCTAGGGGAGAGCTGGGCCCGGCACCTGCCCAGGATGGAGAAGAGGTGAGTCTCCCATCCCACACACAGCAGCACTGGCACAGCAGGGGCCAGGGGAAAAGAGGGAAAGCTCTGCCTGTGGTCAATGGGTAGCCTAGGACATTGGAAAGAAAGGCTGACCCTCCAGTGCTGCTCGTGAGAGCACTGTGAATTTGAGGAATGTATGCACAGGAAGGGAAGGCGAGGGCTGAGCAGAGGGTGGTGGGAGTGGCAGCCATTAGGATTGGGAGGAATGTGTGGACACCGTCATAGGCAGGGTTGGGGGAATTCCTGAGGTTAGAAGCAGGGGCTGCAGGCTCTGAGGATGCCTAGTGTGAAAGTTCAGCCTGGCTGCTGCGGGGTGTGCACCGAGCAGTAGGGAGGAGGCAAGAGGGGCATCTAAGGGCCCTCTAGGAGGCCATAGTCTCATGCAGGCATGGCAAGGGTAGTGGTGAAAAATCTTGGAAGGTACAGGAAGGGGTCGAGGTTGAGTCACGGATCTGGCTGAGGCACTAGTGGATGTCACAGCCATCGTGACTAGTGGATGTCACAGAGGCCATGCCAGGAGAGGGAAATAATTCATCTTTGGACATGTGGGTGTGCACCTGGAAGACAGCTGTGCTCTGGGCAGGTGTTCACTGGGGCTACATACACCCTGGGCATCAGAAGAGCAGAAGTGGAAGTTGAGGCTGGGGATGAGCTGGGTGGAAGGAGGAGGGAAACACAGCCGAGAAGAGGGGAGGAGCAGCACCTGACCACAGTGCCCCAGGTCAGGGAGCAGGGCTACAGGAAGTTCCATGCCCCAGCACCCCACACCACTCTCAAGCTCAAGCCATTAGTCCCGGACACCCCCTTCTTTTGTTGGCAGTCTTTGGAAATGCAGTTTCTCTGGTCTGGCTTCTTTTTTGGGACAGGGGACAGAGTCTCTCTTTGTCTCCCCGGCGGGGGTGCTGTGGAGCCCTCTCGGCTCACTGCAAGCTCCGCCTCCCAGGTTCACACCATTCTCCTGCCTCAGCCTCCTCGAGTAGCTAGGACTACAAGCGCCCGCCACCATGCCCGGCAGATTTTTTGTATTTTTAGTACAGACAGGGTTTCACCGTGTTAGCCAGGATAGTCTCTATCTTCTGACCTCGTGATCCACCCGCCTCAGCCTCCCAAAGTACCGGCATTACAGGAGTGAGCCACCACACCCAGCCCTGGCCTGGCTTCTTGACCAGCCCCTTTTTCCACCCTGAAACCTCCTACACATCCCTGAAAGCCCTGTCCAGGCGCCACTCCTCTGTGAAGGCCTTCCTGAGAACCCCCAGCTGTCTCCGGCATCACATGCTTCTCTCTGCATGGCTGCATGGCAGGTGTCCAAGCTGTCAGTGGGCAAAGGACTTGTGCCCCCATCAGCAGCACCAGGGCCCCCACCTGAGGTGGCTTCACGAAGTCGGCCACATCCCACAGCCGGTTTCCAAGTTCCTCGATCTGAGTCACGGAAACCCCTTTGAGTTTGGTGATGACGGAAATCTGGGGGTCAAGATCCCGGTCCTGGTAGCCTTTTTTGGCGAGGAGAGCCCACCTGGGGAAGAGAAGTTAGGCAGTGTGGTGTGTCCCCAGGGTGTAGTGACAGGGGCGGAGCTGGGCCCTACATGCTCAGTTCTCTCCCCACACCCTACAGGCTCCCAGCCCAACATCGAGGGCCCCACCTCCTCTCTGACCCCACTTCGCACTCCAGACCCCCTGAACGAGACAGAAGCTCCAGCCATGCGTCAGAGAGCCAGTGCCCTCGGACAATCACCTTCCCCAGCCAGCACCCACCCCCAGCCTCACTAGACCCAGCTCCCAGCTTCTAGACTCCCCTGACCCGAGATACAGCTGGTGGTCTCTCTGGGGCTACTGCTCCAGCTCTCACAGATGTAGTTAAGGACGATGTCCTGCGCTCCCTGGGTGGGGCCGTGGGGAGGGACTGGGAAGGAGGCAGGTGGGCACACAGGACAAACACACAGCTTGCTCTTGCTCTCCTGTCTTGTATTGCCTACCTCCCCCCAGCCCCCGAACCAATCTGCCCCCTTCCCCTCCAGCCCCTAAACAGCCCAACCCTCAACTTCAACCCAGCAGGACCAAACCCCACCCCCCACCTCTTCCCCTGCCCCTCCAGCCTGGCCAAAAGCTCTTCTCCCTTACCCTACCACATAGACCACGATCCCAAGCTGCAGCAGCCTCTGCAGGGCGCCCACCCGCCAGTTCCTGGTCATCACATACTTCTCCGTCTTATAATCCAGAAGCCCCCAGCCTGTCATAGCCCCTGGGGAGCCCATGCTGCCAGCTCTTGCTAGCTGCAGGCACATGAGTCAGCATGGTAGCTGCAGTCACAGCTGAACAGGAGGCAAAGCAGGGCCCGAGCCAGGCCAGGCCAGCGACTGTTAAAGGGACACTTCCACTAAAGCAGGATCCAGCTTCCGACACCCAGCCCTCAGCCCCTAACCCCAGCTGTCCTGCACCTCCCACCCTCCCTACATTCCCTTTGCTGGGCCCTGGTGGCACACAGAATACAGCAGCAGCTCTGTCCCTGCCCTCTGGCCTCACTTCCTGGGGTGGGAGTGGAGGTGGTGGGAGGGTGGGGAGAGACAGCTGTTATCAGTGCTGTGAGAGGACGGCTTGAGCGCAGCAGCAGCAGGGCGGGGAGGGTGTTGAGGAAAGCTTCAGCAAGAAGTGACCTCTAAGCTGACCCTTGCAGATTTCTGAAGTTCGACAAGCAGAAAAAGATGGGGATGGAGGTTCCTGGTGCAGGGAGCAGCGTATGCAAAGGTCAGAGCATGCAAGAGAACTAACAGGCCCAGAGTGAGAGGGTGACCTGGCTCTGCGAAGTTCCCCAGGCCCTCCTGAAAAGCTGTTCCCTGCCACCTTCCCCAGTGCAGTGAGGAAAACACAAGTCCTGGAGTCAGGCGTGTTTCCCAGTCCATGAAAGGGGGGCGATGTTGGAACCCCCTAGGGAGGCAGGGAGGATAAATGCCCACAAGGGGCCCAACCCAGTGCATGGCCCGTTGCGCGTGCAGTTTACCCTCTCAGGCGAGGAGCCTCAGCTCAGGCTAGCCACGGTTTCCACGGCAACCAACAACACCGGGTTGCCGGGGCGACCGCCGCTGGGGAGCTCGTCGCTAATTGGCGTGGCCGACGCCAGTCGATGGACGCCACATTCGATTGGTCAGCGCAGCCGCAGACTCCGCCCACATCCCCGGGCCGCGCTCTAGGTGAGGCGCCAAGCGGTCTTCGCCTGAGGGTCTGAGGCTGCGAAAGGGGCTTAACCATGAATGGTTCCTGCGAGAGGTCTGGGGAGGATGAAGAGCAAGAGGAAGAGGCGACGGCGGCCTGTGGACGTCTTGCAGGGGTCCCCCAGGCCAAGCAGGGTCCCGAGGCCGATCGGACTCCGACCTGGAGACGCAAGGTGCTCAGGGCAGGGGCCAGGCCCGTCTCCTCCCCTTGGAGGCTTCTCCCACAGGGGTTGTGGGAGGTGGGTTGGGGCCGAGGAGGCAGGATACCCCTGTTCAGCAGGGCGCGTAGCCCTCTGCGGGGCGTCTGCAGCCCCTCGCCCTCCCCTCGGCGCTCCTGGCGGCATCAGTAACTTTACCATGAGAAGGCGCTTCCAGAAGGAGGTTAAAATGCAAAATCCCGCCAGACAGTGCACCAAGGGCTGTCCCGGCCTGAAATGCAATCAGAGCTGGGTTTTCCCAATCCATAGGTAAAACTAAGCTAATGGATGTATAGAATTTAGAACTACTTCTGTTTTTTTCCCCGGGAAGATATTCACAAAACACTTGTGGTCTGCAATCAGGTTAAAAAACACAGCGTGCAATTTGGCATCAGACAGGCAGAGGCCTGACTCTGGCAGGATTGGCTACCACTAGCTGTGGTACTTTATTTATGAATTCATTTATTAGAGCCAGTGTCTTGCTCTGTCACCCAGATTTCAGTGCAGTGGCAGGATCCATAGCTCACTGCAGCTTTGAACTCTGCGCTCCAGTGAGCCTCCTGCCTCAGCCTCCTGAGTCGCTGAGACTACAGGGAGCCACCACATCTGGCTAATTTAAATAATTTTTTACCTCACTATGTTGCCCAGGTTGTCCAACTTTCTTTTCATAGCTGTATGACTTTAAGGAAAAGATTTGCGTTGCCTTAGCCTCGATGTTCCCATCTGTCATATGGGGGCAGTGGTCCCAAGGAGTGTAGGGAGCAGTGCTTCTAGAGGCAAACAATAGGCCAGGTAGTGATGCAGGGCAGGGGAGGAGGCAGGTGGCTATAGCCATGCAGGGGTTCACATTCATCCTGCTGTCTCCTACCAGGCACCCATGGGCTTGGAGAACTGGTCGGGGACACCCTCTACCTGAGGTCCTGCTGGATCCATAGTGTTGTGCCCATCTTCTGCTTTCTGTGCCAAGGGAGCACCCCAGAGCTGAACCTGCCGCATGGTGGCCTGGGGCCCCAGGTACCCCTGGAGGGACACTGTATCCAGGCTTACAGGGAGAGGCCCCAGGAGACAACAGCCATGGGAGTGCCCCTGAGTCTGTCCCCTACACTTGCCAGCTTCTGCCTGTGTCAGTCATGCCCTACCCTCCACATCTGGGAGACAGATGGGATTGAGGCTATGACAGTTGGCATTAAGGGCTGGGGAGCCTGCAAGCTTCTAACCCACTGGGGGCTCTGGGAGAGGTGGGAGTGGGGGGAGACCTGGGCGGGGCCTAAAAGGAGAAGCAGGTGTCTCTTAAGCAGGTGGGAAGCGGGGTACTTTCCAGGTCAGGGACGTGGAGTGGGCTGAGCCCTGGAGCATGAGCCAGGATAGTGGCCAGTGTGTTTGCTCTGTCTGTCCCAGGGCGCCCGGGCTCTGGCTTCCTCGTTGAGCTCCAATCCATATGTCAAGTAGCTGAACCTTTGGGACAATGGGCTCTATGGGGCAGGTACAGAGGCCCTGGCAGGTGCCCTGAGCAAAAGCAGCAGCATCTGTGGTAGGTGCTGGGCCTGGGGCAGGTGGGCAGGCGTCAGTCCTCCCTTTCCTCAGGGATGTGCCTCCACCCCCGAAAGCTGGGCCATGTCACCTGGGACCTGCTGGTGTTGCTGGTGGATAGAGGAGGGGCCTCATCACAGGAGGGGGCATGTGGGGTGGAGTTAGACCCTCCGCTGTGCAGTCAATGCTGGATACAAGTCCCTTCCTCACCCACCCCACCCCACCACTCTCCTTCCTTGCTGACTGGAACCCATTCTCCTGCCCTGCCCTGCACATAAGAGACTCCCAGTGCCTGAATGCAGGGTGGAAAGTCCTGCAACACAGAGAGTTGCGGACTGGGAAGTTCAAGAAAGGGGTGGGCAAGGTGTAAGTTCATTGGAGCTGAATCCAAATGCTGGCTCTGCCACTGAGAAAACAGGGTGACTTATGAAAGCAGCTCAGTTTCCAATCTGTGAAATGGCCCCCACAAGACCTCATAGGCTTGGGGCTGCGGTGAGCGTGAAGTGAAACGCGCTCCTGAAGTGGTCAGCAGAGTGTGTGACCCATGTAAGTGCTCCATGCATGGCCACCTGGGCTGTTATTGCCAATCCTGGCAATGGGGTCGTGAGGGCTTCTGAAGTAGGTGGTGATATCACTGCCAGACACAATCATTGGTGGGGTGGCTGCCCCCCACCACAGCAGTCTCTATAGTACCAGGAGGTAGGCAGTTTTAACCGCTTGACACAGAAGCTCGTGGGCACACAGGGAGAGGGAGGTCAGGGGCAGAGGGGACCCAGCCATTGGGAGCCAGAGCTACCATCCAACCCCGGGACAGTTCACCTATAAGGCCCCTTCCTCTGCCTCAGACCTGGAGGTTTGGCGGATGGCAGAAGAGGGAGGTGGGGGGGTGCCTGGCTTTGTGCCCCACTGACTGAGGAGTGGTTCCGTCCCCCAGCTGTGGACCTGTCGGAGAACCAGCTGGGAGTGGCAGGAGCCCAGGCCCTCTGTGCTGCTTTCACCATCAACCGGGCCGTGGAGAAGATACAGCTGTCAGGGAATGGCCTGGAGGAGCAGGCGGCCCAGTACCTTGCTGAACTCCTGCTGGGCCACACAGACCTGAAGTCCCTGGACCTGAGCTATAACCAGCTGAATGAGCAAGCAGGTAACGCCTGCCCAGGGCACCATGGGCCATAAAAACTCAGCTTCCTGGGGCAGGGGTGGGTGGGAGTTGGCAGGACCGCACTGCACATCACCAGGGAGCATGTGCTCTGGCTCCTGCTCCCCACACCCCACCTTGCCCCACTCCTCTTCCACTCCAGCCACACAGAACTCTTCATTCCTTCCACAAATATCTCATTGCCCACTGCTGTATGTGCTGTGCACTGACTTAGCCACCAGGGATCCACCTTGAACAAAACCAAGTTCCTGGCCTCAAGGAACAATGTTGACAACATCATTCTCAGAAGAAACAAATAGTTTCTGCTTCTGGAGAAGAATGGGGACCCCCTCCTTTAAAGAGGTGGCTGGGGAGGCCTCTGTGAGGTGAATTTAAGCTGAAATGTGCAGCGTGGGAAGGAGTCAACCTTGGCAAGATCAGAGGGAGAGCATTTCAAGCAGAGGAACCGTGAGCATGCGGGCCTGTTTCCCAGACTGGCAGACAGCAGTGCGACTAGGCTAGGGAGCCAGGGAAGCGTGGCCAGGCTGTGGGGTGGAGAGGCAGAGGGGACTGCAGGACTGTTGACTGTGGCAAAAAAGGGTGAAGATTTTGTTCCAGGTGAGATAGAAGACATGGTTGGGATTCCTTGATCTCATCACTCTCATGCTCCTGAGTGTTTGCTTTGCCAGGAATATGCACTTCTACCTGCCTCTCCTCAAATGGTCTAATAATAGTAAGGATCACCTGGGACCCTGGGTTGGGCATGCAGATGCTGACCCTGGACCTGCTGAACCAAACTCTTAGGGGAATGCCGGTGAATCTGCATTTTAATGGATGCCCCAGGAGAACTCTCTTTTCTGCAGTGTTTCAGAATCTCTGATCTGGCTCAAGCAGCTTAGAGGGAGTGGGATGGCACCAGACTTGGCCTTTGAGAATTAGCCCTGGCGTGTAACTGCCAGAGAACCAAGTTGCCTTCTAAAAAAATTACTACTGGGAGTCAGTGAAATTAAAAGACAGACTTATTTCAGACTTTGACAAACTGAATATAGGTGTCTCTTTGGACCTGCACAGTAAAAGGGCAAGTGCCAGAGAGGCAGCCAGGATGGAGGGCCTGGAAGCTAAGGTGGTATGAAGGCTTCACAAACAGACACATGTACATGAGGGAGGTGGGTGGGGACTGGAAATGGACAGGCCCAGCAAGGCCATTTTTTTTTCTCCAGAAGGAGATCTGTGGGAGGGCCCGACTCCCTTGAGAGGTGAAGGAGCTTGGGTCTCTGCCTCCACCACTTGATCTGTAGCAATGGTAGCACCTACAACATAGGACTGCTACAAGGGTCACACAAAACAAGCATTGGCAGTTGTAGGAGTGTGTAGAAGAAAGAATCTTCCTACCCTTGAGCTGTTCAGCAAAAACAGGGCCTCCCTACAAAGTGGGGGATTACTGTCTGACCCTGCCAGCCCTAGAAGTGTCTGAGTAAAGAGAAAAGCATATGTATTTGAGTACCTGTATTATCAAATCCGGTGCTGGGCGCTGAGTCTAGTTCTCAGGTAGAGAGGGGGCAATGCCCTGAGTCCTTGCTTCTGTGCAGGGAGCTCTCCATGGTGCTAAACAAAAGTGTCTGTAGCCACGGGTGCCAGTCCAGCAGGCTGGCTGAGCGCTCTGGTTAATCCATCCATTTTTATTCTGTGTATTTCTTCAAACCAGCCTTCCTAGACCTATGTTAGGTGCTGGGATCATGGAGAGAGGTCAACTTCAGATCTCCAAGGGACTCTCAGACTGGTAGGAAAGACCCACTAGGCAGAGAGAGGTCTAATGGCCAGAGCCGTGGAAGGACATGGGGCTCAAGGCCATCCAGTAAGCTCAGCCAGGCAGGCAAGGCTTCCTGATGCTATGAACCCAGATTAGAATTAGAAGGATGAGGAGGCTCACGCCTGTAATCTCAGCACTTAGGAAGACCAAGGCGGGAGGATCACTTGAGCCATGGAGTTTGAGACCAGTCTGGGCAACGTATCAAGAAGACCTTGTCTCTACTAAAAATAAAAACAACAACAACAACAACAAAAAATAGCTGGGCACGGTGGCACATGCCTGTAGTCCTAGCTACTCAGGAGGCTGAGGCAGGTGGATTACTTGACTCCAGGAGGTCAAGGCTGCAGTGAGCTATGATTGCACCACTGCACTCCAACTTGGGTGACACGAGACCCTGTCTAAAAAAAAATTAGGAGGATGAGGAGCTGTTAGCCATGTGCAGAAGGGGCTTTTAATTGGAGGACAGCCCGCAGACATGCCGGTGCTGGTGCTTTCACAAATTGAAAAGAGGTGAAGGCCGGGCGCGGTGGCTCACGCCTGTAATTCCAACACTTTGGGAGGCCAAGGCGGGTGGATCACCTGGGATCGGGAGTTGGAGACCAGCCTTCCCAACCTGATGAAACCCTGTCTCTACTAAAAATACAAAAATTAGCTGGGCGTGGTGGCAGGTGCCTGTAATCGCAGGTACTAGGGAGGGTGAGGCAGGGGAATCACTTGAACCCGGGAGGCAGAGGTTGCAGTGAGCCGAGATCGCGCCATTGCACTCCAGCCTGGGTGACAGAATGAGACTCTGTCTTAAAAAAAAAAAAAATTGGGCATGGTGGTGTATGCTTTGTAGGCCCAGCCTGCAAAAGATGCTGAGGAAGGAGGATCATTTGAGTCTGGGAGTTTGAGCCCAGCCTGAGCAACATAGTGAGATCCTATTTAAAAAAAAAAAAAAAAAAGGAAGAATCAGTTCCAAAGTCCTCCAAAATGAGTATTGAGTCCCAGCTTGGCTCTTCCCTGAGCAGGGATGTGCCTCTCCCTTTCTGGTGGCCAGAAACTCACTCCTCACTAAGAAAGTGAAAAAAGGAAAAATAGCTCAGAGCACTTTGAGCTATGTGGGGTATACAGAATTTATCAGGCCCAGAGTCATGAATATAGGACTTCAGGCAGGGCACAGTGGCTCACACCTGTAATTCCAGACTCAGGAGGCCAAGGTGGGAGGATCACTTTAGTCCAGAGGTTCAAGACCAGACTGGGCAACATTGGGAGACCCTCGTCTCTTCAAAAACTTAAAAAAAAAAAAAAAGCTGGGCATGGTGGCACACACCTGTGGTCCTGAGCCCAGGAGGTTCAGCCTGTAGTGAGCTATGACAATGCCAGTGCATTCCAGCTTGGGGGACAGAGCCAGACCCTGTTTCAAAATAAGAAGAAGAAGAAAAAGATTAAAATGAATATGGGACTTCAGTAACACACTTCGTACCAATGCCCAGGGGCCAGCTGTTTAAAGGCATTTTGTTCCTGACTGGCTTAATGTATTATCTTCGCGTTCCTGGAATTTGTGATGCAAAGAATAATATATGGACAATCAATAGCTTATGCTATTTTAATACAGATTCTTGTGGCAAGGGAAGCTGAAGTGATAGGATTGCTTGAGGCCAGGAGTTGGAAGACCAGCCTCAGTGAGACCCATCTTAATCTTTTTAAAAAGTGCAATTTTTGGTAAACCACTTAGGAACTGCCTCTTCTTTTCATTGAAAAACAGCATCTCTGGCCTGGTGTGGTGGTTCATGCCTGTAATCCCAGCACTTTGGGAGGCTGAAGCAAGCATATTGCCTGCGTCCAGGAGTACAAGACCAGCCTGGGCAACATGGCGAAACCCTGTGTCTACAAAAAAAAAAATACAAAAAATTAGCTAGGCATGGTGGCATGTGCCTGTAGTCTCAGCTATTTGGAAGGCTGAGGTGGAAGGATTGCCTAAGCCTGAGGAGGTTTGAGGCTGCAGTGAGCTGTGATCTCATCACTGCACTCCAGCCTAGGCAACAGAGTGAGACCCTGTCTCAAAAAATAATAATAAAACAGCATGTTGTAACTGCTGTTAATTAGACTGTGTATTTAAGGCAACTTTAATCTATGCTCCAGGGTTTCAGTTCTCAAATATGGCAATAATAAACTTTTTTTTTTTTGAGACAGTCTCTCGCTCTGTCACCCAGGCTGGAGTGCATTCTGGGTTCAAGCAATTCTTTTGCCTCAGCCTCCTAAGTAGCTGGGACTATAGGTGTGCACCACCATGCCGGCTAATTTTGTTTCGCTGTGTTGGCCAGGCTGGTTTCAAACTGCTGACCTCAAGTGATCCATCTGCCTCGGCCTCCCAAAGTGCTAGCATTACAGGTGTGAACCACTGCGGCCAGTCAGATTTCTAACTTCTAACTTTTAATGTAGCTTCAGGTAGGAAAGACGTATGTACCTATAGAATTACCTAGGCGGGGCGGGGGGTGCAAGAGCTTATTTCCCTTCACTGGAAACTGTTCCTGCTGACATTTATACCAGAGCTGACTTTAACTTCCTAGAACCTTAAATTGCATTTGCAGTTTGGTATCACACAGAGACATTTTCTTTTCTTTTCTTTTCTTTTCTTTTCTTTTGACAGAGTCTCGCTCTGTTGCCAGGCTGGAGTGCAGTGGTGCCATCTCACTGCAATCTCTGCCTCCCAGGCTCAAGTGATTCCCCTGCCTCAACCTCCTGAGTAGCTGGGATTACAGGCGCACACCACCACGCCCAGCTAACTTTTTGTATTTTAGTAGAGACAGGGTTTCCCTATGTTAGCCTCTCGATCTTCTGACTTTGTGATCCTCCCGCCTCGTCCTCCCATAGTGCTGGGATTATAGGCGTGAGCCACCACGCCCGGCCCCACACAGAGACATTTTCTACCAGACACTGCCACTGTTGACCTACAACATGTAGCTCATGTACTTTGAACAGCATGTACTTTGTAGAAGTGAACAGTCCTGGAACGTGTCCACCTTGGTGTACAGTAGGCCTTAAAGCCTCACAGCACATGTGTTCTCTTTGTAGATGAAGCGTACACAGGGACCTACAGGCAGCTCTTCCACCCGGAGCAGCTGATCACCGAGAAGGAAGATGCAGCCAGTAATTACTCCAGAGGCCATTACACCATCGGCAAGGAGACCTGGTCCTGGACCAGATCCACAAACTGGTAAGAAGAGAAGGCTTCGTGTGGACATTATCCTGCACGGGAGAACAGGCCTTGGATGGTGAAGGGAAGGTCATTTTCACAACACTTAGAGGAGCATCTCCAGTCCAACTGAGTCTGCAGCGTCTTACTATGAAGTATGCGTAGTGATTTGGGCATAGATCTGTGTTGTCTGCTTTTCTTTGCTTCAAGTGTTATGTGCATTCGTTATGGACGGTCTGAATCCATATCAATGCTCAGAGGCAAAGAGAAGTGGCCCTGGCTTGGTGGAGGTTGGTGGTGTGGCTCCCACGGGCATTGGCTCACGTTGTCTGGTTTCTCTCAGGCGGATCTGTGCACGGGACTGCAGGGCTTCCTCATCTTCCACAGCTTTGGGGGCGGCACTGGCTCTGGGTTCGTGTCTTTGCTCATGGAGTGGCTCTGGGTGGACTATGGGAAGAGTCCAAGCTAGAGTTTGCCATTTCTCCAGTCCCCCAGGTCTCCACGGCTGTGGTGGAGCCCTACAACTCCATCCTGACCACCTACATGACCCTGGAACATTCTGACTGTGCCTTCATGGTCGATGGCAAAGCCACCTATGACATGTTGGTGCAACCTGGACATTGAGTGTCCCACATACACCAACCTCAGTCATCTGATTGGGCAGATCGTGTCCTCCATCACGGCCTCCCTGTGATTCAATGGGGCCCTGAATGTGGATCTGACAGAATTCCAAACCAACTTGGGGCCGTACCCTCATATCCACCTTCCCCTGGCCACCTACGCCCCGGTCATCTCAGCCAAGAAGGCCTACCACGAGCAGCTGTCCGTGGCCGAGATCGCCAAAGCCTGCTTTGAGCCAGCCAATCAGATGGTCGCTGTGACCCTCGCCACGGCAAGTACGTGGCCTGCTGCATGTTGTACAGGGGGGATGTGGTCTCCAAAGATGTCAGTGCGGCTGTCGCCACCATTGAGAGCAAGCGCACCAACCAGTTTGTGGGTTGGTGTCCGACTGGATGTAAGGTAGGACTGGGTGAGGTGGAGTCCTTGTGCCGTCAGGAAGCAGCAGACCTGCAGAATAATGCTGCCCGTGAAGGCCCGCATCCTTTGTGGAGACAACCCCTTTTCATGTCAGCTAGGTTGCAAGGAGAATAATTTTAGTAATTTATTTCCTACCGCCTTATACTTTACCAAATACTTTATGTTCCCTTATATGTTACCACCACCCTTTAAAGTTCATGGGGCAATATTACCAGCATCTTACACTTTAGAAAACAGAGGCTGAGGCCGGGCATGGTGGCTCACACCTATAATCCCAGCACTTTGGGAGGCCGAGGCCTGCGGCTCACGAGGTCAGGAGATTGAGACCATCCTGGCTAACACGGTGAAACCCCGTCTCTACTAAAAATACAAAAAATTAGCGGGGCATGGTGACGGGCGCCTGTGGTCCCAGCTACTCAGGAGGCTGAGGCAGGAGAATGGCGTGAACCTGGGAGGTGGAGCTTGCAGTGAGCCGAGATCACGCCACTGCACTCCACCCTGGGCGACAGAGCGAGACTCCATCTCAAAAAAAAAAAAAAAGAAAGAAAGAAAACAAAGGCTGAGATAGCTTTAGGTGTCTGAAGCCTCACAGGCAGCAAGTGATGCAGAGAGAAATCAGAGATGATCTGACTGCAGGTCCTGGTCTGTCCTCCACATTACTCCACTGTTTAGTAATTTATCAGGTTCTAAGGTATCATTTTTTGTGTTTTAAACAGTGGTTTTTACACTTTACATCATGTTGGTCACCTGTTGTCACTGAAGTTTGGGCAACACTATGTTTCTGTGAAGATTTTTAAATACATTGTGCAGTGTTTACTGTGAAGACCAAAGGCAGGTCTTTGCCCTTTCTCCAAACCAAGCAGAGACCTCTGCCTCACACACAATCAGACTGATGATTTGGTGCTCCTTTAGCTGTGCTTACAGTCCATTGTCTACCAAGAGAAAAGTACCATGTATTTGGAAGCCAAATAACAGAATGTCAGGCTCAAAGATCTGTTGTGATGACTAGGCTAAATGCCTCACCACACCTGTGTTGGTCAACTTTGTGCCCTATGGTTAGTTAAGAGCCCTTGTCTACAGTGGTTTCCACATTAGGCAAAGCTATAGATCCCACATTTGTAAGTGTCAATGAGTTCTGAAAGTGTTGGAGGAGTTGCAAGTTCCAGGATCATTCTAGATTGAAATGATATGAGAAAGTCACAGGTATGTGTCTTCCTTTTCCCATGTGGAATGGCCATAGCTTGCCTCTGAACACACACAACTTCTTGAATCTGTCTGGCCCTCTGTCAGCCACTTTACAACACCTTGACACAGATCATCTCTATTTTTCATCTCACGTTGATGTAAATCGTCTTTAAGTGGACAGATTTAAAGTGATTCATAGAACAGGGTAAAATCGGCCAGGCTTAGTGACACATGCCTGTAATCCCAGCATTTTGAGAGGCCAAGGTGGGAAGATCGCTTGAACCCAGGAGTTCAAGACCATCCTGGGCAACATAGTGAGACCCTGTCTCTACAAAAGATATAAAAATTATCCGGGTATGGTTGTGCATGCCTGCAGTCACAGCTAATGGGGAGGCGGAGGTGGGAGGATCGCTTGAGACAGGGAGGCAGAGGTTGCAATGAGCAAAGATCACACCACTGCACTCCAGCCTGGGCAACAAAGCGTGACTGTCTCAAAAAAAAAAAAAAAAAAAGGAAAAAGAAGGGTAAAATCTACAACAGTTACACCAGCCTGGAATGTTCATTACATGTTACATAGGAGGATTACAGACCTTGGATGTTAGATGTTACAAGTAGGATGTAAAACCTTCCATTCTGTGTCTAATTACTAAGCCTCTCGACTTGAGTAGAGGAATTTTTCTTTCAATTGGTGTTACATTTGGAAGGTGAAGACATCCTTAGCTGGCAGGCACCGTGGGAGATGCTGCGCTCTGCAAAGGTTTCCTGTTGTAGCTAAGTCTTGTGAGACAGTAGTCTGTGGGGAGATAAAGTCACAGCCTCTCCTGTCCTCCCAGAAGATAGTCCAGCTCCAGATGGACCTTGTTGAATTCTCTTTGCTCTAAGTTTCTTTTTGTCAGTCTTAGTGTGATTTACCATACATTCTTTTTTGTTTGTTTGTTTGTTTTGAGATGGAGTTTCACTCTTGTCACCCAGGCTGGAGTGCAGTGATGTGATCTCGGCTCACTGCAACCTCTGCCTCTGCAGTTCAAGCAATTCTCCTGCCTCAGCCTCCTGAGTAGCTGGGATTACAGGCGCCCCACCACCACATCCGGCTAATTATT